CCCCCCCCTCCCCCCGCACCCCTCAAAAGCCGTCCGGGTGATAGAACTCCTCTGCCTCGTTTCGACCCCCCCTCTGAGAAACCCTTGGAGGGAGTTTGAACCCCCCCCTTGCGCGCCGACGCGGACGACCACGACGACGACGACGACGACGACGACGACGACGACGGACGCCGGAAGCCTGGACGACGACGACGACGACGGACGACGACGGACGACGACGACGACGACGACGGACGACGACGACGACGCCGAAGACGACGACGGCCACGACCGCACACCGACGGGGACGACGTCGACGACGACGACAACCACGGCGACGGCGACGGCAACAGCGGTGACGACGGCGACGAGGTCGACGACGTGGACAACGACAACGACGTCGACGACGACGTGGACAACGACAACGACGTCGACGACGAGGATGACGACGAGGACGACGACGACGACGACGACGACGGTGGCGGCGGTGGCGGCAGCGGCGGCGACCGACGGCGACGGCGACGTCGATGGCGACGACAACGCCGCCGCCGCCGACGACGACGACGACGTGTCCCGCACGTCCGCCCGAACATTTCGCCCACGACTATGGCGTGTCCACCCCGCCCTGGTGGGTTTGAGTCCCCCTTCGGCGCCAGCAGACGAAGACCGAGACGGCGGCCACGACCACCATGACGAGGACGACGACGACGACGACGTGTTTCGCCCGCCCGTCCGTCTCGCACACGACGACGACGGCGACGACGATGACGACGACGACGACGACTACGACGACGTGTCCCGCCGTTTTGCCCGGTCGACTCGCCCGCGCCGGCGACGGCGACGGCGACGGCGACGACGCCCATCGCGACGAACGACGACCTGGTCGTCGCCTCATCGTCGTCGTCGTTTGCCTACGGCGGGAGGTTGGGGGGGGGGTTCGCCGCTCCCCCTGACTCGGAGGGGTTCGTGAGGGGGCGGCGGGGGTTCTCGCCTGGGAGAAGAGGGCAGCCCCCGTTTCGGAGAGGAGGGCGGGGGGGTTTTCGTTCGGGGGGGGCCCCAGGCCCGGGGAGGGGCACGCGGCGGGGCGCACACGGAGGTCGTCCTCTCTCCCCGGTCTCCGCCCGTCGACGGGCAGCCTCGGGATGCCACCGTGCCTGTCTCGACGCGCGTGGCTTTTAGCGGAAGAGGTTCGCTCTCGCCCCGCAGATCAAAAAAAGCCTGTTCTGACGTGCGTGCGCGGCTCCTGCGACGGACGCATGCTGTTTGTGCCTGTTCTTGATGCTTGCTCTCGGCGTCTGGTCTTGGCGTCTGCCCTGCATCAGTCTACCTGGTGTCTGGCACTGGTGCGCGCACGTGGTGCAGAGTATCCGTGCCTCTCTGGGGCCTCCTGCCTTGGGCTGTGCTGGAGCACCGAAATCCCGAAAAGGCGAGAGCATTCCAAAGCCTTTCAAAACCATGAGGAATCCATAGTTCTGGCCTCTCGGAGCCCTCTTGTCGGGGCTCCTGGGGCTCCCTGGGAGCTTATCGGGGCTTTCTTTGGCCGCCGTGGGTCTATCTCGGGCTTCTGGGAGCGATCTCGGGGCGACTCGGCGTCCTCCTGGGCAGCTCCCTGGGGGGGGGCTCCCCTGTGCCGTTCCGGCCCACATGGGGGCCCCCCCTGGGCGCGGTCACGGACCTGGGGGCCCGCGAGGAGCAGCCAGGGCGCGCCGGGAGGCGCCCGGGGACGCGGGGGCCCCATGCCCGGAAGAATTCTGGAAGCCCTGTACCTCTGAGGGGTGCATGGGCCTCGGAGCACTCCACCACGCCGCTGCCTGCTGAAGGCACGGTGGCGGATTGATGTGTTCGTTCGTCGTGCGTCGCATTGGTGTTTGTTCTCGGCGTACGTTTGTCGTGTCCGTTGTTCTTCGTGTATGTTACGAGTGTACGTTTGCATGCCTGTTCTTGGAGTCAGTGTTTCGTGTTTGGTCTTGATTGCTGCGGCTGGTGTCTGTTGTTGGGTGTATGCGTTCGGTGCATATTATTGGTGCCTGCTCTGGACGTATGTAATCGATGTATGTGTTTGTGTTTGATGTAGGTTCTTGGTGACTGCTCTTGGTGTATGTTATCGTTGTATGGTATCGGTAAATTTGTATGTTACATCTGCCCGCTACTGGTGTGTGTTATTGATGCGTGTTGTCGTGTGTGTGTATGTTTTTGACGTGTGTTATAGGTGTCTGGAATTGCTGAATGTTCTCTGCTTAGTGCTTGGATGTTCTGAAAGGGTGTGCCTGCTGTATATTTTTCTGGTGTGTACAATTCGCGTAGGTGCTTCATGCATGTTCCAGATGCGTAGTCTTGATGCACGCTCTTAGTGTGTGTGTGTGTGTTTTTATGTGTGGTCTGGAAGCTCGAGGACTGCGTGACGCCTGGACGGCGTGACGCCGTGACGCCATCCTGATGGGATTGTCTGCTCGTCACGCCTGTTCTTCCTGCCGTCCTTTCTGTCGTCCTTTATGTTGTCCTTTTTCTGTCGGTCGTCCTTTCTGTCGACTTTCTGTCGTCCTTTCCGTCATTGTGTCTGTCTATCGTCCGTTCTGTCGTCCTTTTTGTCGTCGTTGGAATCTCGGGGACCCCTTGGCCCTGGCCGCCGCTGGCGAGACAATCCAGGGACTAACTCCAGACTACTTTTGGGGCCGGGTGGCCGCGGCATGCAGGAGGGAAAAAGACACAGGCACAATTCATCGACGCTTCCCAGGAAAAGATGGGAAACTGTGCGAAGTGGGGGGGGGGACACGAACGTCCAGAACATACGTCGATTCCCCGGGAACTTTGGAACATAGGCGAGGTGGGGGGGGGGGGGACGTCGACAGCCCCGAAACGTATGGGAACGTGTGGGAAACGGACGGGAGAGGCCCCGGGAGTATGGGACACGAAAGCATGGGAAACGAGAGCCCCGAAAGTGTGGGAGACGAATAGGCCGACATCCTGGGAGTCGTGCCTGCTTGTCCGCGTGCCCCGGGGCCGCCCCCCTCGGGCGAGGCGGGGGTGGGCGGGCGAGGCGGGACCACCTCGACCGCCGGGGGGCTCGGCGGCCGCGGCGTGCCGAGGGGGCGGGGGCGGAGGAGGAGGAGGAGGAGGAGGAGGAGGAGGAGGAGGAGGAGGAGGAGATCCAGCACCGCCCAGGCCGCCCCTTTGCGACCTCGGGCCCCTCCCCCCTCCTCTGGGGGCCCCGCAGACCCGAATGCCGCACCCCGCCGGGGCCCGCCCCCGCCTTTCCCCCCCCCCCCCCCACACCGAGCCCCCCCCCTCCGTCGTGGGGGGCGCGGCGGGGCGGCGGCGCCCGACGACGCCGGCGTGGGGGGAAGGCTTCTGGGGGGCGCGGCGGCGGCGGCCTTGGTGCCGAAGGCCAGCAGCCGAGGGCACGAGCTCTCCTCCAGGGGCAACGATAGGGGGGGATAAGCGAAGTCGGGCCTGTCCCTCTAGAGGAGGAGTAGTCAGAAATAGGAACAAACATATTCTGGGGATGATTTTTTGACTATGTTTGACAATTTGGGGGTATTTTTTAGCATTTTCCATTTTTCGTCCAAAAGCCCGGTTGAAGGGGGGCATACCCGACCTAAGGATAGGCATAGGAGCACAGGGGGGGATGCATCGACCCCGAATCTCCCATTGATCGCCGACAGGGGGGCCCGATGGCCCCAGCCTGCCCAGGAAGGTGCGGATTCGCTATCCTGGGTCCTGTCGCCGACCTATCGTCGATGTATCGCCGATTCCAGGTCGATGCATCCCGCCCTGTGCCAGTCCAACCCCCCAATCGTTGCCCCTCATCTCCAGGCCTTTCCGGAACGCTCTTAGAGCGTTCTGGGGTGCTTGGAAGCACGGCCGCGGCGTCCTCCGTACAGTCAACCCGCACAGTAAGCATGATCGACTTCCCAAGGGTACCTTTTGCCTCCTTGCCTCCTCGGTCATCTTCGGTCCGTCCTCACTGTCGTCGTCTGCTGGACTCTTGGAGCCTCGTGGGGGCGTCTTGGAGGCCTCTTAGGGGCCTCTTGGGGTTCCCTGTGGGCCTCGATGGGGCTTCGCAGGCTGTCTTGAGGCGCACTTGGCCCGTCTGACGCCTCCGGAAGCCGTCAGGCAAGGCTCTTCGAGATCGTCTTCAACTACTTTCGGTGGCCAGCCACGCTCGAGGAGCCTCGGCATGAGTGCCCAATCGGAGGGCACCAACTGGCACACCTGCACCGATGCTGGCCAGGCCGGTCCTGGGCCCAGGACCGGTGCATGTGCATCCTGCCCAAGGCAGGAGGGCGTAGACTCCGATCCTGGGCCCAGGGTGGTCCTGGCCGGCCAGGCCAGGATGGGTGTCGGTGCTCCTGTAGCGGTGCCGCCGCGACATCGTCGCTGCAAACAATTCGTGGACTTGGGTGGACTTGGGCGGGAGCGGCAGCGTCGGCTATGCCCTTGCCCCCTCCTCCTCCTCCTCCTCCTCCTCCTCGTCCTCCCAATCCTCCTCGTCCTCCTCCTCCTCCTCCTCCTCCTCCTCCTCCTCCCAATCCTCCTCCTCCACCTCCGCGGCCACTTCGGCTTCGAAAGGGCGCCGCGGGGTGAGAGAGGCCAGGCCGCGCCAGCTTCTTTGGGGGTCAGGGGCAACGATAGGGGGGCACAGGGGGGATGCATCTGAATCCCCCATTGACCGCCGACAGGAGGAATAGTCAAACATAGTAAAACAAATAGTCTGGGGATGTTTTTGTTGACTACGTTTGACAATTTGGGGGTATTGTTTCAGTATTTTCCATTTTTCGTCCAAACTCCGGTTGTAGGGGGACATACCCGACCTAAGGATAGGCATAGGGGCACAGCGGGGATGCATCGACCCCGAATCGCCCATTGATCGCATACAGGGGGGCCCGATAGCCCCAGCCTGCCCAGGAAGGTGCGGATTCGCTATCCGGGGTCCTGTTGCCGACCTATCGTCGATGTATCGCCGATTCCAGGTCGATGCATCCCCCCCTGTGCCAGTCCAACCCCCCAATCGTTGCCCCTCATCTCCAGACCTTTCCGGAACGCTCTTAGAGCGTTCTGGGGTGCTTGGAAGCACGGCCGCGGCGTCCTCCGTACAGTCAACCCGCGCGGCGGCGGGCGGCCGCGCCGCGCGAGCGAGCGCACGGGCGCGGGACGGGGCGAGGCGGCCTCAAGGAGCAGGGCTCGACCTGCAGTGGGGGCCCATGCCAAGAGACACCCTGCTCCTCCCTCCTCCTCCTCCCTCCCTCCTCCTCCTCCTCCTCCTCCTCCTCCTCCTCCTCCTCCTCCTCCTCCTCCTCCTCCTCCTCCTCCTCCTCCTCCTCCTCCTCCTGCTCCTCCTCCTCCTCCTGCTCCTCCTCCTCCTCCTCCTCCTTCTCCTTTGAACTGCACCGTGGGAACCCAGGCCAAGAAACACCCTGCTTGCCTCCAGGGTGCCCTGGGTCTGTGTTTCGATAGTTTTGCTATGGGGGGCGTGACGTTCCCACACCAGAAAGCGATGGTCGCCCTGGGGTCTCGGGGTTGGGTCCCTTGGGGGGGGGTTCTGTGGTCGGGCCCCCACTGTACACGGTGTTTTTTGGCGATCCCGTGGGCCGTTGTCGTCTCGAGTTCGTTTTGCAGCGAAGGCGGGCTGAAGACAGAGCGAGGGAGAGCGAAAACAGAACGAAGGCGAAAGACAGCGTGCAGGTCGAGCCCTGTCGAGGAGTGAGGGCGGTGGCCCTCGCGCGAGCGGGCGCACGGCGGGGCATGGCGAGGCGCCCTCGAGGAGTTCGAGCAGGGGGTCGACTACAGAATTGATCTACCCAACACTGATGTTGTTTTCCATCGAGTCTACGAGAGTGCTGAGAGTGCTCGTAGATCTGCGGATGCTCTGCGTCTTTTTGCGCATGTTCGACGAACATTTTTATTGAAGGGTGAATGAATTTCGTAGTCGGTCCACCTCTCGAGGAGTGCCGGTGGTGGCCCTCGGCCTTCTGCTGGCCCTGCTCCGGGTGGCGGGTGGCTCATCGGATGCCGAGGGCGCTGGCTTGCAGCAGGTCGGACGTGGCTACTGACGGGGACAGATCCGTTCCAGAGCGTGCCAGAACGCTCTCAGAGCGTTCCCGAACGCTCTGAGATGGCCGCGGCGCCCGAGACATCCTCCAGGGCCGCCGGATCTCAGGGATTCCCGACTTATCCCTACCCGACTTTATCCTCGTCTTGGCCTCGTCTCAGCAGGGGGAGAGCCGTGCGGGCCCCGATGCGTCGACTCGTGCAGCGCCGCCGTCACTGAGTGCCCCAGGAGACGGGGGGATGTGCCAGCAAGGACGGCCGGATTTGTGCCGAGACCGTCTCCGAGACTGCGCGATTTCGAGTCCTTTCGAGGCCTGTTACTGTGAGGACGGCTACGGTGCCCAGGACATCAAGTGCGTCGCGGACAGCTTCGGGTACAGCTGCAAGTATACTTGTTGCCCTGCCCAGGTTGCCTTCGAGTGTGGACCCTTCGAACGGGAGAATTTGCACCTCTTGGCAATCATCGGTCTCTCGCTCCTTGCCTTTGGCACGGCCGGAGTCTTCGTGACGAAGGTGTGGATTGTTGTTGCCAGTCGGAGATCACGGGCTGTGTGGCTGAGCCCGGAGGACCGTGCCGTGGAGTCGGGGCCCGTGGTACGAGACGGCGCCCGATTACACCGCGAAGTGCCAATGGATCGTTGGTGCGTGACGAAGGCTCCGCCACGCGCAGAGGGGCGGTACGGTATACAGTCAACTCGCTTAAGAAGGATGAGCGATTTTTCAAGGTTCTCGTTGCATCCTTCCCCTTCGGCCCATCCCTGGCCGCTTTCGTTGGCCGCGCCCCGCCCGCAGAGTATCTGCATGGCATGTCAAGGCCCTTGAATCCTCATCGTGCGTCCTTCTATGCGGGTTGACTGTAGGGGGAGGTGAGCAGGCTTCTTGGAGGCACCCCATGCTTCTTAAAAGGCCTGGGCCTTGTCTGCAGATGTAAGGCCCGCGCCTTCTAAGAGGCAGCCTCCTTCTAGGAAGTCTTCTCCTCTTCCCCATACCCCCCTCAGCGCGCCGCCAATGAGGCGGATCTGCAGCAGCTTCGGCGACTCGTTTGGCATGCAGTTCAAGAGCATCGAATCGTACCCACAGAGCTAGACCCTTTTGACGCAAGCGACGACAGGATCGGCCCGTCCGTCTACACTGTTAACGACCAGTACATAAAGCCCGTTACGCTTGCAGCGGGTAAAGCAAGTTGGGCTTTGATGCGCCATCCTGAAGGTCTACCATGTCATCTGTTCATCACTCATGGGTGGGAAGAGGGTGTGTTCGAGTTGTGTGACAAAGTATTGCGGTCTTGGCCTATGGGAGCCAAGCACGCGTATTTATGCGTGCTGTCCAACCCACAGAATTTGGACATATCTGCTCTTATATCTACCCCCATGGAGTCCCCATTTGCCAAAGCCTTGGCGTCCGCGACGCACATGTTGGCGGTCCCAAATCGGGTAAACAGTATATATTCAAGAGGCTTACGGCATTCTGCCGGCCCCCAGAAGAGCGGGTGAGGCGTCTGGGAGTCTTTTGGGGACCGCTCCCGGGCATCTTCGACGCCTTTCGAGATGCTCTTGGCGTCAGTTGGTGGTGATTGGCCTGTTTTCCACCACCACCACCACCACCACCATAAGTTGGAGTGGGAAAGGAGGTGGAGGACGAGGAGGAGGAGGACGAAGAGGAGGAGGAGGAGGACCCCCTCCCCCTCCAACTTATGGTGGTGGTGGTGGAAAGCAGGCCCATCAGGTGGTCTCGTGGGTTCTCCTTCTTCGGGGGGGAGGCTCGGCATGTCAGCTCGAGTTTCTGCGATGGGGCTCTTCTCGAGGCCCTGCCTGCGCTCGCTGTGGTCGTCTTGATTGGGCGTCTCTTCGGCGTCACTGTGACTGTCTTGGGGCCGCCTTCTAGCCACAGTGGGCCGTCTTGGAGCGATCCGAAGGGCCTCTTGAGTCCTTCTCTCGACGCTGCGCAGGCGACAGAGGCGAGTACGTACGTGAGGGCTACGCTTTCTTCCAGGATCTGCTGGGGTTGTGCTCATGCGGGCCTTGCTGCTCGTGTGGCTTTGGAACGGTGCTCGGGCGTCGTGGAGGCGTCTTAGGCAGTCGAGGGCTACGCTTTCTCCCAGGATTTGATTGGGCTTTGCTTCTTCGGGCCTTCCTGCTCGTTTGGAGCGATGCTTGGGCGTCGTGGAAGCTTCCTGTGCAGTCTTGAGCCGTGGCTGTCTTTCAGGACCCCGCCACGGTTCCGAGCCCAGCTTCATCAAGTATAGATGCCACAGGCCTCGGACAAAAATAGTGAACACGCGTGCCACGTTCATCGGTCAACGCCTCCCCCTCCCCCCAATGTTCAAAGTTGGCGGTGGGTCTGATGAGTTGCACTTCGACCGCAGGCGTCCCCCGCGCGTGCCAACTTTGAGTTTCGGGGAGCGGGGGAGTGTCCACGAATTGTTTCCCCCCTACAGTCTCACGTTTTAGGTTATGCCGCCGTGTGCGAGTAGACTATGCGAATATGCGGGCAAGGATTTCTGTGGGACCACATGGAGAATGAGATAGGAAATTCTTGACGCTATCGCGAATCCCCACCAGTCCATCCAGAAACGACGCCTATGGGGAGTGTCCACTGGTTGTTTCCCCCTGCCGTGCCATCCTGGGTATATCGGAGGGCACGGAGTGTGCTTTTGAGTCTCTGGCAACGCTGGGGGTGCGTTGACAAGCTCGTCTTCTGCGCCTTCTTCCTCTTCATACTGGAGGTTGGCACCCGGGAGAGGGTCAGGAGGAGGGGAGAATGATGTAAAGGAGGAGCAAGCGCAGGTCGAGGAGGAAAAGGAGGTGGAGGAGTAGGGGGGACCAGTGTAAACCCAAGACTCATCAACGATGTTGTAACGATACCGGAGAGAAGCCCCAATTATAATGTTAAGGGCCATATGGCTATAGGGCTATAGGGCCATATGGCTATAGGGCTATGGGGCTATAGGGCTACAGGGCTATACAGCTATATGGCTATAGTGCTATTTTGCTATGGGGCTGTAGGGCTATGGGGCTAAAGGGCTATAGAGGTATAGGGCTGTAGGACTATAGCACTATGGGGTTCTAGGGCTACATGGCTGAAGGGCTATAGAGCTATAGGGCTATAGGGCTACAGGGTTATAGGGGCACAGGGTTTTACCGCTATACATCCCCAGGCCGAAAGTTTTTCCTCTTGGATTAAACATATGAGAACATCAGTGGATCCAATTGGATCCCTTGTCGGGTGTGGGAGAGTTTCGTGGATCCTATTTCTGTGTTGCGCAGATGCGATTTCTTGTGCGTGAAAAAACAATGGATCCATTGACTTCCCGGGAATATGTATATATATATATATATATATATATATATATATATATATAATGAAAATTAGCATCCGGGACCCAGGGAAAATTGCATCCGCGGAGCACCGCAAGTGAAGCACCATGCTATCCACGGAGCTGAGGATCTGGAGACCAATGCTCTAATTCTACGGGGGAGGGGGGTCTTCCCAGGATGAAACGGGGAAGGATGAGGGAAGAGGCAAGAGGAGGTGGGAGGAGAACAGATGGGATCGGCGCGTCGCTTCCGACATGTGGGGCTCAAGAGGGAAATCTTTCGGCCTGCGTAAGTGGGATTTCGAACTGCGTCTCCCCCGCCAACACTTTGTGCTAACCCGCCAACGCGGTGTGCTAAATCCTTGGGATTTCGAATTGCGTCTCCCCCGCCAACATTTTGTGCTAGCCCGCCAACGCTTTGTGCTAAACCCTCCAGTTGGATTTCGAGCTGCGTGTCCCCCACCACTTCGTGCTAACCCGCCAACACGTTATGCTAAATCCTTGGGATTTCGAGCTGCGTCTCCCCCGCCAACACTTTGTGCTGACTCGCCAACATTTTGTGCTAAACCCTCCATCTCCAGGCCGAACGTTTTTCCTCTTGGATTAAACATATGAGAACATCAGTGGATCCAATTGGATTCCTTTTCGGGTGTGGGAGAGTTTCGTGAATCCTATTTCTGTGCGGCGTGGATCCAATTTCTTGTGTGTGTGTGAAAACAATGGATCAATTTATTCCCCGGGAATATATATATAATTAATAATTAATAATAATAGCAATAATACTATTACTAATAATAATAATAACAATAATAATACTCATACTAATAATACTAATACTAATAATACGAATACTAATAATAATAATAAACATTTGGGGCCCAGGGGAAATGGGATCCGCGGAGCACCGCAAGTGAAGCACCGTGCTATCCACGGAGCTGTGGATCTGCAGACCAATGCTATGATTCTACGGGGGAGGGGGGTCTTCCCAGGATGAAGCGGGGAAGGATGAGGGAAGAGGCAAGAGGAGGTGGGAGGAGAACAGAGGGGATCGGCGCGTCGCTTCCGACATGTGGGGCTCAAGAGGGAAATCTTTCGGCCTGCGTAAGTAGGGCTATAGGGCTGTAGGGCTATAGGGCTATAGGGCTACAGGGCGGTACGGCTATAAGACTATAGGGCTATAGGGCTATAGGGCTATAGGGCTATGGGGCTATACGGCTACAGGGCTATAGAGCTATAGGGCACCCGGGCACCCAGGCATCCGACGCGCCTCGCCCGGGCACCCAGGCACCCGGGCACCCGGGCACGGGCGGGCCGCCAAAATTCCCGACGCACCTCACCCGAACACCCGGGCACCCGGGCACCCGGGGGGGCTGCCGAAATCGGCGCCGTACCTCACCTAACCTTATGAGTCCGCGAGGACCCCTACAGAGGCAAGCTCTGATTGGGAAATCAAACCTCCTTCCAAGCTCTCTCTTCAGAGGCCCCTACAAGGATTCATTTCCACTGAGGGGAGTGTCCCGTTGGGAGACAACGGTTTGAAGATCCTGAGGCGCGCCAAAAGCCCATTGTCAGGGTTCCAACGCCACGAATCAACCTGACTGTCCCGTTTTGGTGCCCCTAAATCGTGCCAGAAAAGCGTTCTTGGGACTTCGGCACCGCGAATCAACGTAACTGATGCAGCTTGGCAATCCTGAATCGTTCCGAACCAAAGTTTCTGATACGTTTCCCATGCGAACCTGCGAAACTTCTGCAGTCATGTAAAACGATTGTGCTCGGGGCTAAGGCGAGAACCTCATTTCGAAAATGAACCGCCCTCACTGTTGAGACGAATGTGCGCGGCGCCAAGGCGAGAGCCACATGTCGAAAAGGAACCGGCCTCAATCCAGGAAGCTCTTGCAATTTGTGGCACGAATGCGCGCCGCGCTAAGGCGAGATCCACGTTTTGAAAGCTACTCGCCCTCGATCTGTGGAACGTTTGCTTATGTTTGAAACGAATGTGCGCGGCGCTAAGTCGAGAGCCACAGTTTGAAAACGACCCGCCCTCAATCCGTGCAATTCCTACAATTTGCTGAGACGAATGCGCGCGACGCTAAGGCGAGAACCACATGTTGAAAAACACCCGCCCTCCATCCCTGAAACTGTTGCCAATTTGTAAGCTTGAGGAAATCGCAGGCGAAACGCCCGGCCCGCCTTCTCGATTGGCCTGGGGTGCGACAGGGAGGAGCTATATATGATGATGGGGAATTGAGTAAGAGGTGGTGGTGGAGGAGGAGGAGGGGAAGAAACAGGAGGGCTGATACCAAGAATGAGTGAGAGTTTGCCACAATTGTGGAAGTACTGTGGTTGCCTTCGGCTCACCCCTTACATTGCCCCGGGTGTGGGTCAGGGGCCGCGCGGATGCATATGAGGGCCTGTTGGGATACTTCTCAGCGGCCTCTTGGAGGGCTATTGGGGCCATCTGGGTCTCTGGAGGCATCTTGGAAGCCTCTTGGAGGACTCTTGAGGCCTCTTGGAGTTGCTTCGGGGGCCGCTGGGGAAACGCTGGACATGTCAGTTCATACTCCTTCTTTGTGGCCTCTCTTGTGGCTATTTTGGGGCTCTCGTGGGCCGTCTTGGGGCCATCTTGGACTCACTTGGGGTCAACAGAGGACTCACGGAGAGTCTTGAGACTATCTTGGAAGCCTCTTTGGCCGTACTGGACGCTGCGAAGCTGACAAAAAGAAACGTATGATTCCAAGACCGACTAGGACAATGTTTGCTCCTTGGGGCCCCCTCGGCGGTTTTCTGGGAGCACTCAAGGGCCATGTTGGTAAACTCGTGAGCCGTCTCGAAGCCATCTTGGACCGTTGCGATCGGGCCTGGGCCGTCTCTGGGCTCTCTTGGGCTGTGCTGGCGCTCTGTTTGGGCTCTCTTGGGCCCACTTTGGGGCTCTCTTGGAAGGCGCTGGGGAGCCCTGGGGGTGCAGTTAGGAGCTCGAGCCCCCCCTCCCCCCTGGCCCCCCCTCCGGGGAGGATTAAGACAGGAGGAGGGGGTGCAGCCAACTGTCTCACACGCCTGTTCACCCCCGGCAATTCGCTCTGAGGCTGCGCTCTCCCCCTTTCCTCCCCCTCAATGGTTAATTCAAGCTTCGCGCGGCCCGCCTAGCTTCGACCGGAAGAGGTGCGCTCTCGACCCGCGAATTAATCAAAAACAAAACAACGGTTCACCCCCGGCAAGCGGGGGTCGGCGGATTCGAGGATTTGGTGTGCTTACGAAGCCTTCCTGGCATACTCGTGGCACAAGAACATCACCACCGCCCGGTCCCCCGTGCCAGGCTTCTGGCCCCTCGTTGTGAGGATGGGCTTCCTATCTCTAGCAGGGGCAGGCGCAATGTGCTCTATCATCGCTCATTTCAGATATTTGACGGCGGCATTTTCTACGGATATATTTGTGGTTGGGCCCCAAGCAGTGGTTATTTCCGTGGCGTTTGGATACGTGGTCCTTCGGAAGCGCTCCGACTCACTCTCTCTTCGCATTGTCATCCGAATGCTTGGATTCGCTTGTGGTGCCATGGGCGCAACTAACGTCGTGAATCGTCCCCACCATGTATCAAATTGGTGTTTCTTCGTTGCGATGGCCTTGTTTCCGACCGCGCTCGAGGCCGACAGATTGTGGGCATCAGCAGCGGCTGTCACTGCTTGGCAGTTGCAGAACGGTTTCACGGGCCACCTCCGAGACGCCAAGTGTTCGGTACACGCCGATGGGGAACGCATCCGGAAAGAGCTCGAATCCAGCTATGTCCCACGCAGAAATAGCAACGGCAGGGGCTATATGGGTCTCGTTGACAAGAATGTGGCAGACATCATACGCATGGGCATGGTGTCGGAACATCTGCGCCAAGCCGAAGAATTGGCCGGACCTCTGGGCGACGTGAGTATTTGGGGTGTTGGCCCCGCATC